TGTTAAGACTAGTTAAACGCTTTTTATTTTCAGCCTGTATTCACAGTGCTCAGAAATGAGTTAGTGGAGAGAAATTTTCCAAAGCTACTCCTTCCCTTTGCTATAAAAGTTCATTTTGGGGGCCCAGCAAATGACATAATGGTTACGTCCCTGGACCCCCAGGTAGTCAGCTGTGATTCAAGTCCTAGACCCAGCAGCTTAAATTCATGCCAGGTGCATGTGTGTGTGCTTGCCTAAGATCCTGAAAGGAAAATGGAGAAGGGATGGTGACGTGGCCATCCCCCCAGGGGGTGATTTCTTGCTTTTTGTCCCTCTGCTTCTGTCTTTCCAGCAAGCACACATGCCTTATAGCAAAAACCTCTCTTAAAAAAAAAAAAGTTAATTTTTGAATAACAGTTCATATTTCTGATAAGAAATAAAAACCGTAGAATTTGTTGTGAATAATACTGATACTTAAACAAGTTTTGTTTGCCTGTCTATGTAAATTCTTTAGGAATTATTTAGCAGCTACTCTGCCTGTTCCATATTTTTTTTAAGAAGATCTAATCTTTGCCTTCTAAAAGTTAGCTCAATGAAAAATAAAGACCCATGAACAATTTCAGAAATAGGAATATGTATGAAAACTGCATATAACAAAATGCTAATAAACTTTATGGATTGAAAGAAGCATAGATTAGTATTAGAAAGTACTGGTAAAGGCTTCAGGGAGGAACACAGGCTGTTATGAATGATTTGGAAAGGAAGCCATATGGTGTTTCAACAAGTATGTAATACAGTAGTCCCCTCTTTTCCTCAAGGCATATGTGCCAAGACGCCCAGTGGATGCCTGAAACTGCAGATCGTACCAAGCCCTATATGTATTATGTTTTTCCCTGTACATACGTACCTATGAGAAAGCTTAATTTAAAAATTTGGTGTACCTAAAGATTAAAATAACGAAAATAAAATAGAACAATTATAACAATATACTATGATCAAAAGTGATGTGAATGTAGTCTTCATCTTACTCTGTCTCTCAGAATATCACATTGTACTGTATTCACTTATTATCAGACTGTGGTTGACCGCAGGCAAAACTGAAACTGTAGAAAACAAAACTGAATATGGAAGGATACTCTTAAGTTAAAAAGGCAATCCAATCCTCTTTGTATTTTCCAATTTCTAAGTTCTTACTATTCTAAGTTTTCTTTTTCCTTTCATAAACCCATATACACATAAGGCTAAGAGCACTGTATTTGGATTTAACTCCTAGCACTGTGATATAACTTCAAGGTAGGGATTACTCCTCCTCCCTTCTTCATAAACTTTAGTCACCTTAATTTGTTCTTCTTTGTCCATAACATAAGCATAATGACGACTGTTGAAATGTTACAAAAGTGGTCAGCAAAGTGCCTGGCATATAATAAATGCCTAACTAAAAATGTATTTTTTTTTGTTTTATGATGAGGAATACAGCTCTTAGCCACTTCTTTCTTTTCAATTTTTTGTCTTTATGTCTCATTCCGCAGTCACTTCACATAGAGCAAGGATGTCAAGAGAGACATTTGTCAGCCAGCCTTAAAAAGGAAGAATGTGACCCTCCTGATCTTACAAGTATACCTGAGACAGAGCGATTTTCTATATTCTTTTGCAGTTCTTGAATATTATGGACTTTTATTTATTTTTTAGCATACAACCCAATGTAATTATACCTTGACTACTAGCAAATACCAGTTGAAAACATTCCTAAAGAAAACTTACTCCAGTGAGGCTGTATAAATACAGTTCCTGTAACACTTTGTTTGGAAACCATTTTCTGAATTTGAGGAAATTGATCTGTTATTCCTTTCTTTGTGTTACTGTGCTGCTGGTGATGGGAATCAGGTTTCATGACTGCAGAGGTCTTCAGTTCTTACTTACAACACAAATGGAAGAGCTGAATAAATTCCAGAAGCTGGTAAGAGAAGCCGTAAAAAAGCTGGAGGGGCCTCCATCTCGTAATGTTATTGAATCTGCAACAATCTGCCACCTCAGACCCGCTAGACTTCCTCTCAACTGGTAGGTAATAGAAGAAATCATACAAGGGAACTTCAAAAAGTTCGTGGGAAAAATGGGATTATATATGAGTTTTGGTCCAAAAAAATTTTGAAATCCAGGGGTAGTGTTTTCATAATATGTATTTTCCACAAACTTTGTGAAGACCATGTGCAGTGAAGTGGCATTATTTCTTAAAGCAGGATATCTTCTGAGAGAAGTAATGGCTCGTATAATAGACCAGACATAGGTAATTCAGACAGAAGTAGAAAGAGATGAATTGTTACTCTAATCTTAAAAAATAATAATAATAATAATAATACCCTCAAGGATCATGTCCTGAAAACCATGTAACTTTTTTCCTGAAGTGATATTTATTATAAAGCAAAAATGAAATATAACATACTAAGCCTCTCTTTAAAGTGACCCAATTGCTGGTTTGCTTATAAATATGTCTCTTATAATCTCTTTTCTTTTTCAGCTGTGTCTTTTGTAAAGCTGATGAATTGTTTACAGAATATGAATCAAAGCTGTTTTCTAACACGTAAGTTCTCTGTTTGATTATTACGTATCAGGAAATTGAAACATTTTATAAGACTTGATGCTTGATTGTGTATTTCCTTACAGTGACCTTTTATATTTCTCTTTTATTAAGTTAGTTTAGTAAACCTTTGACAGTTGATCATTTAATATGATTAGTTTTACAGAACCATACAGAAATTATTTCCTAAATGTTTACGTCATATACTAATGGGTAATTGAGGACAGTTTAGGGACATGGTAAGAGATCAGACTCTTGAGTTCAACAGATTCGAACTAACATCTCTGCCTCCTGTTGGGAGCGCATTACTTCCTGATGCCAGTCTTCTCATTCTTTAGATGAAGATAACTCTTACTTCATTGAGTTTTCATAGTATTTTAAAAAGCAGATACACATAATTATTTATCATAATGCTTGGTACATAGTAAGTATTCTATAAAATGTTTGCTCTTGTTCTTTTTCTTTTCTTTTTTTTTTTAGAGGTTTTTGCTATAGGACGCGTGTGCTCGCCAGACAGACAGAGAGAGACAGAGAGACAGAAAGCAAGAAATCACCCCCCAGGGGGGATGGCCACACCACAGTCCCTTCTCCTCCATTCTCCTCTCGGGATCTTGGGCACGCACGCACGCACATGCACCCGGAGTGAGTTTTGAGCCACAGGGTCCGGGACACGAACCATGGTCGACTACATGTGAGTCCAGTGACATAGCCCTCACGCTAACTGCTGGTCCCTGCTCTCGTTCTTAATATCCATTTTCCAACACAGAGCCTTTGTTCTAGTGCCAGAGATCCAGTTACTTAGTACATGTAGTCATGGTGTTAACAAACATGGAAATTGAGAAGAGAATAAGTTTGAATTGATTGCCTCAAAAAGACAGTGTACATTTAGATGAGACTGTGTTTTTTTTGAATAGCTGTCAGTGGTGGTTTTTGTTTAAAACTCAGACTTAGAGCCTAGAATTTAGGTTTTTTTTAAATTATGCACCATTGTTCTCAAAAAACAGTGGAAAAATTTATGATGCTTCTAGCATTTTCAGAATTGCTGTGGTTTTTCCAAAGATTCTCAAGCATCATCATATCAATATGGCATTGAAAATTATTGAAAGTTATTAACCGTGAGCCCTTATTTGTTCTGCTAATATCACTCATTTACAATGCTTACTACTACTGAGAGTAATTGCTGCAGTTTTGTTCCGGTATATTTTCAGGGTCAAAGGTCAGACTGCAATATTTGAGGAGATGATAGAAGATGAAGAAGGACTTGTAGATGATCGAGCACCTACAACCACCCGGGGTCTGTGGGCAATAAGTGAGACAGAGCGGTCTATGAAAGCACTCCTGTCATTTGCAAAATCACATAGATTTGATGTTGAGTTCATTGATGAAGGAAGTACGTCAATGGATCTCTTTGAAGCATGGAAGAAGGAATATAAGGTATGGTATTATAAATTTCTTTCCAATATTAAAAATTATCCTTTATATTGCTCTTTCTCTTTTTCTCTCTCATATTTCTAAATCTACTGAGGTATAATTTCTTTTTCCCCAAAGTATAATCATTACATAAAGAACAATGAATATAATAATGCTCAAATAATGAGGACCTTCTAGTTATTAAAGAAAACCATGAATAAAACTTAATGAAATCATGAGAAACTTAATGAAACTTTTCATCTAGTTGTGCAAGTGTTTGTTCTTTTAATTTTTTTCTTTGTAATAGAGGGACAGAAAAAGGGAAAAAGAAAGACAGAAACCCCAACAGAGTCTTTACACTGTAAAGACCCCCAGTCTCAATCGGCCCAGATCATGGGCAGGCATGTGCACCCAAGGTGTAAAACCAGGACCTTCCCCATATGGGTCTGCTGCATCACAATCCGGCCTCGTGTTGCTTTATGTTCTTAACTTGAACATACACTGCTATTCTGTAAAACTAGAGTTTTATTTTTATTTTGTTTTTATTTGCTTTTGCTCTAATGATCAAACATAACAAACGTGAAGATTGAGGAACAGAGTAAATATCTCTCTATTTGCAATGCTGGAACGTATTGTAAGGAATAAGGCACAAAGCAGCCTTTCATATTTACACTTTAATGATTCTATTTTATTGTAATTGTGTACATGAGATGAGAGTCCAGAATTTATTAACTTGGAATTAGTTGTTACATCTGGATTTGTTATTAATTATCCTACTTTGAAGATGAGTAAGTCATAATTCCATATGCTATCTTCTTTATAATCTAAATTTTTTATACTTTAAAGCAGGATAAAAAATTTTATGTAAAAGGTATGTTATCTGTAATTTTATGTTAATATTGGTACTATAGTATAATATTGGTAAATTGATAATGCTGATAAAAGTCAAAATCATAGATGTGTAATGAATGTTCTTCCTCATACTTTATTATTGTAAATACAAAGCATATTTACACAGCTAATTCTACCCAGCCAAAGAAGATGACAATATTGTATCTAATATCCAGTTTCACCTATATTCTTCCTTTGGGTTCATTTTGACCCCCTACTGTGTGTCCAGAGGCGTGTTTATTATGCAGTTCTCCCAGATCTTCATCCATTAGTTATATCCATAACTTTTCAAACTAAACTTTTTCACAAAAACAGCGAATGAATCAGCTACTGCTATGCATATCACCTAGGATCTCCCTTAAAAAATAAAGTTGGTGAAGAAAGCATATCCAAAAATCTATACTGATCTATCAGTTCTATAAATTTCAGAAACACAAACAATTATTAAGAATATTACACAGGGACCAGCAGTTAGCGTAATGGCTCTGTCACTGGACTCCCACGTAATGGCTATGTCGCTGGACTCCCATGTAGTTGACCACAGTTCTAGTCCCGGACCCAATGGCTTAAAACTCACGCCGGGCACATGTGCGTGCGTGCCCAAGATCCCAAGAGGAGAATGGAGGAGAAGGGATTGCAGCGTGACCATCCCCCCTGGGGGGTGATTTCTTGCTGTCTCTCTGTCTGTCTGGTGAGCGCACGTACCCTATGGCAAAAACCTCTCCAAAAAAAAGAATATTACACATAGTTATTATGCCAGTGAAAAATATGGAATGATAAGTACAATTCAGGATAGTGGTTACCCCATTGTTAGGTGCCAAAGGAGGAATGTGTGAGAAAAAAGAATGACATAGTTGAGAAGGAACACACAAGGGCTCTCCGAAAAATTCGTATTACTCTATCCTAAAGTAGATGGGGGATACTTGGTTGTGTATTTTAGTATTCTTTTGTTTACATATACATAAAATGCTCTTTTAAATATATGAACTATGTTATAATAATTTTTTTTTTTTTACAGTAAAGCAAAAAAGAAATTCATTAGCCTAATATTGACTTACATAGATCTTTGGTCCTACTAGGAAATCTTTGGGTATTCTTTTTCTAAGACTCTAAAGAGGCCGTATCCTATAGTGATTTTTCAATCTCACTTATTTATTCTAAAAACGGCTCAAGTAATTGCTTGTACCTTAGATGCTTAATGAGAAAAGTATGTCTTAAAAATCACATGGCAGAGGGTGAGGGATAAGGAATCATGGATGGCAAAAAAAAAATGTATACAAGACATAAGAAATGGAAAATTATTTGCTGATAACATGTATGTTGATGTGCTTAATTGAGCCAATATACAGTGTATTTTGGATGGAAAATTCTTTTGTATGCTGTAATGATGTATAGTGAATTAATGTAAAAAATAAATAACTTTAAAGAAAAAAAAAACCACTTTTATTCAAACCATATCTTGAAGGTTTTAACTGACTGTAATTATGTGGTTTACCTTTGCCTCTGTCATTTCTGTTCCTTCAGTTGCTTCACGAATATTGGATGGCTCTGAGGAATCGTATATCTGCTATTGATGAACTTGCAATGGCAACAGAACGACTAAGAGTGCGTCACCCTAGGGAACCAAAGCCCAGCCCACCCGTTCTTCATATCATTGAACCACATGAGGTACTTTGCAAGCAAATCACACAGAGGGGCACAGAAAGTAGATGTAAGAAAAATCCAAGACCCTTGGAGGAGGTAGAATCAGGGCAGTGATCTCATCTATTAGTGTTTATTATATAAGTATACAAATTCTGTTTTTATTTTGAGCCATATGAAGAAGATTTTTTTGTAGGTCAAAAAAGCTTCCAAGATAAGCGATCTTACTCTAATACATTTTTTGCATTCACTATCTGGTTGCACTTTTTATTTGTTTCTCTCCAGATTGTATATTTATCTATTGAATATTCATCTATTTATTAATATATTCTATGTGCTAAAAGCTATAGCTATTCTCTGCTTTTTAGACATATTTTCTATTTCTTCAGCTTTATCAGAACTAGGAAAATCTTTTGTAAGAACCACTAAAATTTTTCTTTTATAGTATTTTCCTTTGATAATGATGAACACATATTAACTTGTCCTCTAATAAATTCCTTTTTGTATCTTAGGATTGTACCATAACTCCACCAATCTTTTCTACTCCACATAAAAAGTATTTTTTTCATAATTTATTTTTACCTCTTATGCATGTTTAATGCTTTAAGTTGTTTACGTCTATAAAGCCCAGGGGCCTAAATAGTTAGAAATTATATAATATATACAATTATATGTACATGTTAATATATAATTATGTGTATACATAAAATCATATACTGTGTGATTTAAATATGAATTATCAGTAAGTTTTTTCTGAAAACAAATTATTATTTCAATTCTACATTTTTGTCTATTATCTTCAACCAGGGGAGAGCAGGAAAGACAGTAATATTGTTCCCTGGATTTTATAAAATCACTCAGGTGAAAGCAGCAAATCCTTTTAATTTTTTTTCTTAGCCCATGGACTCATACTGAAAAATAGTACATAAATATAGTTTGGTTTGAGTTTTATCTCACTTCAAGTATTATAGGGATGTTTCTCATTTTAAAAAACTCTACATTGAATTTTGTCTTACATAAAGCAAAAAAGAAAAGTCCTGAAGTATACTATCTAGTATCTGTTTTGCAAATTTGAGTTTTAAAATATAAATAGGTTTTCTTAAAATAAGACATTTATATGATGGAAGAAGAATTGTGCATGTCTGCTTTAACCATGTTTCTGAGAAAGAAACCTTTTTTTTATTATTTTTTTCTAGGTAGAACAAAATCGTATAAAACTACTAAATGATAAAGCCGTTGCTACATCACAGCTTCAGAAAAAACTTGGGCAGCTTCTTTACCTAACTAATTTGGAGAAGGTATTTTTTTAAGTTGTACTTTTTCTAATGGTCTATTACTATAAACAATTTTCATGATTCCTTCTATTTAATCTGTTAGACCCACAATCAATGTACAGGCACATTATCAGAACAAGATGCAGTAGTAGATTTTTGGATAAAGAAAATAAAGGCAAGCTGTAGATTAGAGTTGGCTCTAAAAGCTAGTACTTATGTCCTAAAGTGAATCACTAAATCCCAGTGATGACAAAGTGAAAAATTAGATGTTCCTTATAGGTAAAATAGTGCAGTGGTCTAGAAAGTCCAATTTTTAATCATAACTCTGGTTTGTTTTTTTGGGGTTTTTTTGAGAGGTTTTTGCTATAGGGTGCGTGTGCTCGCTAGACAGACAGAGACAGAGAGACAGAGACAGAAAGAAAGAAATCACCACCCCCCTGGGAGGATCACCACACTACAATCCCTTCTCGTCCATTCTCCTCTCAGGATCTTGGGTGTGCATGCGGTCGACTACATGGTCGGCTACATGGGAGTCCAGTGACATAACCATTATGCCAACTTGGCTGGCCCCGACTACTACTGATACTCTAAAGGAGAAAAAGAACGAAAAAATCATTCAGTAGTCAATTTCATGCAAATAACATTTAGAGAAAAGTCTCAACATCCCTAGAAATGAATTTTTAAAATGTAATATTCCTATACTTTAAATGATAGTCAAAATAAAGTTAATCATCAGTTAGTTGTAAGACATAAGTTTTTATCCTCTGTATATTGAATTACTTTTTAAAAAGTTAAAATTCCAGGACTACGAGATAGTGTAATGGTTACATCACTGGACTCCCACGTGGTCAACTGCAGTTTGAGTCCCAGACCCGAGGCCTGAAACTCAAGTTTTGAGGTTGTGTGCATGTGCGTCTGTGCCCAAAATCTTAAGAGAATGGAAGAAAGGAGGAGAGGAGATTGTGGCATGGCTGTCCCCCCGTGTGGGGTGTGATTTCCAACTTTCTGTGTCTCTCTCTCTCTTTCTCTGGCAAGTGTACATGCCCTGTAGGAAAAATCTCTCCTAAAAGAGTTAAAATTCCAAAGATATTATAATAATACACCTAGGAAAATCCTATTTGGTCAACACTGTACCAAAAAAATAAATGAATAAAATTATCTACATAGGTACCATTATCTGCCAACAAGTAGGCAAAGATTTTTTTTTAAATGATAGCACTCTAGTGTTCACAAAAAGGTAGTGACCAGATACATCTTATGCTTTGCCAATGGGAATTTAAATTGACATAGTATTTCACATAAAGCACTTTAACAGTAATGTTTGACAATTTTTTATAGTTTATATTCTTTGACTCAATAATTCTTGGACATTAAATATTCTAAGTAAATAGGGAATTTGATAAATCCATTAGCTATGACAGTATTGCAGTGGTGTATTATGAGTTGAATATCTCTTATTTGAAATAGTTCAGATGGGAAGTATTAGATTTTATTTAGATTTATTTACTTTTTTTTTCAAATTAGAATAATTGCATATGTATAAGATTGTGGATATGAAACCTAAGTCTAAATATAAAATTTATTTATGCTTGGGAACCAGCAGTTAGCGTAATGGCTATGTCGCTGAACTCCCACGTAGTCGACTGCGGTTCGAGTCCCGGACCCAGTGGCTTAAAACTCACGCCGGGCGCGTGTGCATACGTGCCCAAGATCCCGAGAGGAGAATGGAGGAGACGGGATTGCGGCATGGCCGTCCCCCCTGGGGGGGGGGGGAATTTCTCGCTTTCTGTCTCTATGTCTCTCTCTGTCTGTCTGGCGAGCACACGTGCCCTATAGAGAAAAACCTCTCAAAAAAAAATTATTTATGCTTTATGTACATTGTATACACAGAGGCCAAAGATAATCTTATGCAATATTTTTATTAACTTAAAACAAAGTTTGCATATACTGAAGTTGTGATGCAGGAAGTTGGGGTACACTTTGCCCAATACCCAGTGCAGTAACAGCAATGAACCCAATTCTTTGTCTCACACTCACGAAAAATTAGAGACACAAACACAGAGAGGGGATAGAACAGCAGAGTTTATTAAAAGAGGGAAGGAAGAACAGAGCTCCCAAGCTGGGAGGAAGTCTCAAATGGGTTGCCAAAGCAGATCTGAGACAGGAGGTTTTTATCGTGGTTAGGAGGGACTTTGCCCAGGCTTATTCTCAGGAGGGACTTAGGCATACATTCCCCTTGGTGGTGAGGGGTACATGTGAGATGAGTCTAGTTATTTTTCCTAATTTTGGGGTATGTAAGTTATGAGACTCTTTGTCTAAAAGCTTTAGACCATAAAGGCCATTTGATCTTATGTTCTTCTCAGCATGTGGTAGAGCCTGGGGAAAAAGACTTAGTTCTTAGATTTGCTTTAGGTCATGCTGCCTAGGTTAATCACTGTCACTAGTGCAAGCCATTTCTTGTGAGCAAGTAGTTGAGTAAGAACTAAGCTGCTGCTGCTGAACTGTTGTGTCTCCACCTTAACATTTATCCCTCTGTGATTCTATTTTGGGCCTATCCCCTAATATATTCTTAGGGTCCCTGTCTCCTACCTCAGTTGGGAATGGAATTTTCCGCTTATGATATCATGTCAGCACTCAAGAAGCTATAGATTTTGAAGCATTTCAGATATTGGATGTTTGGATTAGGAATGCTGAATCTATAATTGTCAAATGAGAAATGCTAAAAAGTACAGTGGTTATATAAATCTTGAGTTAGTCTTATAATGAGAATATGATGTAAGTATTTTAAATGGTGTTTTCAGTACATAATGATGCACAAAATTTCATGTTAGAAATTGAGAGAAAAGATAACATTACTAATGGAATATAATCCCAATTTGTATAATTGTGTATATTTAAAGTAAGTACAAACTTTTTTTTCACTCTGGCAGTCTGTGAACATATATTGTGTACTTGTTCTTATATACTATTACACTAGGAGTTTGAGTTAGATGGTCCTGGTCCCTGGCCTCAAAAAACTTACAGTGTTTTTATGTGAACAGATGGTAGTCACTAGAGTTGATAGTGATTATTAAGTGAGATATTAATGATGCCACCAAATTTAGCAGATTAATATAGATTAATAATTTAGAGCAGAATGGCATATATTCAAGAGTACTGCAGAAATTTAAAGATGAACATGTTATATTGTTGATCAACATTTTTCTGTATAAGATCTCAAGAAGCTGAGAACCAGCAGTTAGCGTAATGGCTATGTCACTGGACTCCCACGTAGTCGACCGCGGTTTGCGTCCTGGACCCGGTAACTTAAAACTCACACCAGGCGCGTGTGCGTGCGTGCCCAAGATCCCGAGAGGAGAATGGAGGAGAAGGGATTGCGGCATGACCATCCACCCTAGGGGGTGATTTCTCACTTTCTGTCTCTATGTTTCTCTCTATGTCTGGCAAGCTCACGCGCCCTATAGCGAAAACCTCTACAAAAAAAAGATAAAAGATATCAAGAAGCTAATAAAATGTTCTAAGTAATGCTAGACAATCACATAGAGTCTTTACATGTGCTGTTAAAACCAGCACCACATGGGATCTTCAATAGTCTTACTACTTGTTGGGGTCTTCTGTTTTGGGTAGGAGTAGCAGACAGTGGCAAGCTGTCACTTGTCATGGGTAACAAGTAGGGGAAACAGTTATTACGATCGAAAAAAATCTTGTTTTTAAAGATAGTGGAAACTTGTGTAGGCAAAACGGTTGAGATGAAATGACATTCCAAAGAAGGGAAAGCCCTTTGTGGGTGAGCTCAGATTGGGGCCATTGTCTTGCCTGAAAGCATTTACTGAGACTGAATACCAGCGGAAGATACAGTATACCATTGTGTAGGGACCCTCATAGAAGAAAGAGAAATCAGAGATTTTGAGGGCTATAGGAGAAGGTGTTATAATTGGGAACCTAGAGGACCTTCAGATGCACAACTAATTTTGTTCATCTGCCAGGTGACATGGTAACTGGCCTGAATTACTAATATAGAGTGAAATCTTTTTCATTCACACAGTGCCTTGGAAACAGTTCCCTCCTTTAGAGTGAGGGGCCTACATCAAACACAACAAGCCTTGTCCTTTAGACATTTAAAATCATAGGTGAACTGATTTTTCAAAAAGCATGAAATTATTCTCTAAAACCAGCTGAATTTCTTACTAATCTAAGACAATTACTCACCCTCTTAGCCTAACTGCCTAACAAGGGTGAGTATATTCCCCTCTCAGGAAAATTAACATCCTATTCTGTCTCTGCTATTTGTTGCAAAAACAAACTAGGAAATCTGACATACTGTGAAAATCTTCAAGCAATATGAAAGACAGAAAAATGACCAAAAAAAGGGGGGGGAGGAGTGGACATTAGCACCAAAGCCCCAAATAATCCAGGTGTGGGTCTAGAGGGAAAAGACTCCAAAGTAATTATGGTTAACATGCTGAAGAGGGGAGAGCTGGATGACAGAGATACAGTGAACTGGAGTCCAGACAGTAGAATCAAATGGGAACTTGTAACAGTGTAATACAGTCATGTGCCACATAATGTCATGGCATATAATGGAAGTCCCGTAAGGACCATACTCTTTTCCATATATCCTAGGTATATAGTAGATTGTACTGTCTAGGTTTTGTAGGTACCCTGTATGACGTACATGCAACAGTGAAATTGCCTAACAATACGTTTCTCAGAAAATATTCCCACTGTTAAGAAACAAATGACAGAATCAAGATAAAAATTCACTAGGTAGAGGCTAGATCCCCAAAAAGGGTTAGTCAACTCAAGTACAGTATCACAGAAAAGATCCAGTAGAAATACAGAAAGAAAAATAAAGAACAAAATACACTGTAAAGGATTCTGGACACAGTCTAGAGTGTAGCTTATAATTAAAGTTCAGGAGGAATAGAGAAGTATAATGGGGCAGGACTAAATTGAAGAGACAATGACTCAAAATTTCCTAAAACTGGTTACAGACAATATGAGTGTACTTTTCATTGAACACTTAGCATTTTCCATTTGATTAAAAGAAGAGAGAAATTGGGAACAGCAGATGGCATAGTGGTTATGTCACTGGACTCCCACGTAGTCACCCATGGTTCGAGTCCCAGACCTGGTGGCTTAAAACTCAGACTGGGTGCATGTGCATGTGTGCCCAAAATCGAAAGAGGAGAATAGAGGAGAAGGGATTGAAGCATTTCTGTCCCCCCTGGGAAGTGATTTCTCTCTTTCTCTCTTTCTCTCTCTCTCTCTCTCTCTCTCTCTCTCTCTGTTTCTTTGATGAGCACACGCACCCTATAGCAAAAAAATCTCTCCTGAAAAGAAAAGAAAAAGAAAGGAGAAATCAAGATATTTTCAGATTAACTAAAACTGAAAATTCATTGCCGGAAGACTCACATTACAACAAATATTACAGGAAGATTTTTGGACAGTAGGAAATTTATTCCAGACTGAAGGATGGAACTACAGGAAGAAATAATGAACAGAGGAAAATTTAAATATGTAGGGAA